GAAAATAACAATATGCTTATTGTGACATATCGTACACAGCAAGAAAATTTTAAAAGAGTGAAAGATAGATCTTAAAAGACTAGTGATAATGCGTGCTTTGATCCTCAGACCTAAGATATATCAATTTCCATTCATGACACGCATGTTCTTATTCATATATATTTATTTGTAAATATATCATCGCAGAGTGAATTAGAACATTAATATAGTTTACGAAAATTCTGGCAGACTGCTTCACAGACAACAACGTAATATCTAAAAGATCTGATTTTATTAGACTCTGAACTTTTTACAATATAATGCTCCAATTTTAAACAGTATTTAATGGCTGACATAGTCGATTGCCTTTCATAATTTCAAAAGTACAAACTTCATCTTGCAAACAGAACGTTCATCAAAATACTTAAAATATAAAACGGTGTAATCATCACAATACTATTAATGTGCCCACTTCCAGATCACAGGTCTCAGAACAGGTTCAATCTACAGAATTTGAATCTATAAAAAGTATAATTTTTTATACATGAAAAATTATCAATCATTTGCCCTGTGGAAAAATTCCTATACGATCAACATAGAATATTAACTAAAATATAAACTAAATATAAACTTTTTTGGTCACCATTAACATCTAAATGTATCTTATTTATAAGTTACCACATAATTATTTTGTTTTATAAAAATAGTAAGAACTACTGAACTGTTAATACTTAATACCTATTATTTTAGACATTGTTCACGTAAATAGCGGCCGATAAAACGTTTGGTATCAAACTGAGCAATCCCCTGATTTTTATTTATAATTCAACGTGCCTATCTTTTTTTTAAATACCTAATTCAGTGAAACATCGTCGTAAAATGACAAGGTTGTTTTAAAAGTTTGCTGCTCACTTCGTCTTAGTATTAGTTTTGTTAATTTGTAAACTTCAGGAAATTAGTATGTAAATTTCGAATGCTAGCGAATTGTAACTATCATAATACTTTTAATTAAGAAAGAGTAATATTACCTTTTTTAGTTAAATCTAATCCGAGCATATACATTCCCTTTGCAACTCCAAACAATTTTAATTTTCTCTTCAAACAACAACGAAAATTCTCATTTAATTAGGTTGATTAATTATTGTGCAACTTAATTACTTGCGCTCAGAAAAGTAATTTAATCAAAATGGCGAAAAAATGTTTAAACAATACACCGCCTAAATGAAGTAGTCGGTATCTTTGCGCAAACGCTACTCTTTTGATGTCTTCTTAATTTAATAGGCATTTAACAAAATCCTGATCGTGAATCTGTGAATACTCGTATCGAGTTAATGAATATGTAAGAATTAAACAATGTAGATTTAGTTGGGTTTTATGATGAGGGTATGCAGTGCTTATTTGCATGTATGGTGTGCACGCCACTGGACATTTGAACGCAGCGCAGCGCCTGATGATGAATTAGTATTCAAACGACCTCTCGCGCAGCAATATGTAATTTTTAAGTGTTTTTCAAATATTTTTAAGTGTGAGCTACATAACTCCGAAATTATTCACTTATAATGAGATGAGTATGAATATAATAAAATTACAATATGCTAGGTTTGCACTGCAATACGATCTTGTGTATGTTGCATAAGGTTTTTTTGAAGACATTTATGTTATTACAAATCTTAAAGTCATTAGGTAATTGGTTAAACATCTTTGCTCCCTCATAAACTATAGTCGTTTTCCCGTAATTAGTTATAAGCGTGATTGATTTAATTTTCTGTCTATTCCGAAGATTATTGTATTTTCCTTTATATTTAGTTGTATGTCAGATTTGAATGAGTTAGTCGATATTTTCTTTATCAACATACACGTGTAATATTTATATAGTTGGGAGAGGTTAAGTAATTTACTTTTATTGTATAGCTGTTCAGTTGACATTAGAAATGGATAATTAAATAATACCTTGATAATTTTGTTTTGAGATCTTTGTAGTGGATTCAAATTTCTATTTTTATCTATCTTTCGTAGTGCTCCCAGCACAGCTGATAACTTTGAATGTATATGCTAAATGTAAGGTTTCCATGTTAGTTTGTCATCAATTCGTAGCCCTAGGTATTTTTCTGCATAAGACCTTTGAATTGTTTCATAATTTATTTTGAGAGGTTCAAAATCTGGGATATTTTTTTTTTCCGAAATTATCATGTAAGATGTTTTGGACGTATTTACTGTCAATAGGTTACACTTAAATCATTCGTTTACAATATCTACATCTTTTTGCTCTTCGCGAATTATTTCATGTTTCATTTCAATTTTATTTATATTATTGACATAAATTAGTATCGGACCGAGGATGGAACCCTGTGGTCTGCCATATGTGACATCTTAAGTAGAGCTTGCGAATTCAGCAATTTTAACAACCTGATACCAATTCTGCAAGTAAAATTTTAGTATGTTTAGAGCTGTGAAATTTTTGCCTATATTTATTAATTTTAAGAGTAAATTTTGGTGACATACGTGATCGAAAGCTTTTTTCAGATCGATAAATACTCGATTTCGACAGAAAGCCGTATTGTTGGTCAATTAATAACTTTTTCTCAGTTAGATAGCCGTTAAGCTGAAAATTCTCTCAAATATTTTTAGGTTGATCGTATGTGTCTTGGAATAATTTATGATAGTCAGAAGTCCAATAAATAACGTAAATAAATAACGGTAAGTTCTCCCAATAGAAGTCACAAGGACATAACGAGCGAATCTGTGTACCTACCCCGGAGATTAAAAAGAAGTAAAGCTTGTTAAAACTAGTTTTTATAGTTTTCTTATTTTCTTATCTGAATCCTGGGGGTGCTTCTCAATCCCCCCCCCCCCTCCCATCTACTACCCAACACTTCACGATGAACAGATTATAACTCTAAAAATGGCCAATCGGAAGCCATGAATCAAATATTGTTATCTGAAGCACCTCTTTACATGCAACTGCAAGTTACGGTTTTGCCTAGATTATCATAATTATTTTTTAACATCTGCAGTCCGAGAGCAATGTATAAAAAATATCATGCAAATAAAACAAAGATTTGTTTTTATAATTAGTTTATAACAATTATAAAATGAAGTACACACTTAACAATTATTATTTACAGTATCTTGTATAATATTTACAATAGGGTTATGTCCTACAAGTGAAAATACAGTTTTCTATATGTTAGCAAAATATGAACCATGTTAACTTATAAATATTTAACAAATTAAAAATTAATATTAATAACTTGGAAAATAAAACGCTTGGAAAACTCGGAAAATAGGGTAAATATATTATAATACTTATTTGCTAAAATATTTGCGGCATTAAATTAGTTACTAAAATGTAACAATTTTTATATAAACAGCTGTTCAAACGCACAAATAACAAAGATGTTAAAAAGAGTGCCCAGACCCTCACACGTTTTTTGCTAGCGTAGCACTATGTGACGTCACTTATTGGCTTGAATTAGTTTTTTTTTGCCAGCGGACTAGTAAGTTGCAGTTCCACACACATAACGCCGTATATCTCCAAAACTATCAATCGTAGACATGCAGTTACTTCTACATTATTTATCAGATATAAATGAACTGTTTACTTATAAATTACTATAAAATTGTCAACTAGCCTAATCAACTAGGGTCGTTATACACATTGGTCCAACATTTAAATATCAATACCATAAACATTGACTTTCTTTTACAATTTTGTATTTGAAATTTGTAATTTTTTTATTTATTCACATTCCTTCATCTACGGGAAGCTATATCATGTGTGGGTGATATACATAGGCTATAATTTACGCGTGCGAAGTTGCGAAATCAACAGCTTTTATGTATACAGGTAACAAAATTGTTGACTAGACTAGAAATGAATGTTATTACTGTCGATGTAAAAGTTTCTTAAATTTTGTTAAAATAGTTAAATATGTTCAATAAAATAAAAGAGTAATGCCCGTTTTCACTTACCTAGAACAAGGCATAGCTTAAGCCTTGTTCTAGGTAAGTGCTAATATTAAGAATAGCTCAAGCATATTTATCGTTTCTCCAAACCTGTATACTTAGGTAATGGATTATTATCAGGTTAGGTCTTATTAAGCACTTGCTTAGATAGACAATGTTTATGTAGGATTTTGAATTTTTCAGTTCTTCTTTTTTAATGTATGGCCTATTTGGGTTTACACAATTCTACCAAAGTCACGTTAGTGGCCATTACACGTAAAGTAACTATAACAAAAATATATATTTTGAGGTGATAAAACCTGAAAAATTATACGTGGTCTTGTATTTACACGAACACCTATCATCATTGTGCCTATATAAAAAGTCAGAAAATCCAAAAAATCTTATTGTTTATATCTTAATTCTAATATATATACTCCTTAATTCCATCTTACATAAATAATTTTATCCCTTGACACATCCGTTATCTACAAATTTATCTGTCACATTACGCAAATGCCCAGCTTTTGGCGCCGCACAGTGCATGTCTTGATTTTAGGCGTTGCTTAAAGTCATTAGGTGATTCCTTGTCATTGGTAAAACGCATTTTTACCTTAAAAATGCCCAAATAGGTGTTAGATTTGGGAGACTCCTAATTTTAGTGAAAACGAGCATAAATATTATGTAATCAAACGTCTCTTTCTTATTTTTATTTATTTTTACATGGTACAGTTCTAACACAATATGAGATCTTAAATCTATAATAGTACGTCTATTAAAATTTATACACGATCAAGATTAATTTAAATATATCTATCTATATAATTATATTTTTATGTGTCTGTTAATGTGGGGAAATTATTGAATACATGTGTAACATTTTGTTTTATTTTTTGAAATTATAAATAATAATTATATATACATATTATAAAACAAAGTCGGTTCCCGCTGTCTGTACGCTGAGGTGTATTTAAATTCACAACAGTTTTTAATGTGGTTTTTATCAATATACAGAATGATTCAAGAATATGGTTTATATTTGAACTTTATACAGGTCCATGCGGCGAAATTGGCGGCGGAAAGCTAGTGAAAGATAATAGTGATAATGGCTACTGGGTGATGACTGGGTAAAAAAAAGAAGAAATTATATAAAGTACTTCAATATATCATATTAACTGTATTTTTTTATTTATCAAGAAACGGCACAGATAACGGGCATTAAAGTTGAGCAGTGGGGAACTTATTACGTTATAACTATGTAGAATCTGTTCAAAATGAATGTTATGAAACATTTACTTAGTTTACTTAAAACCTATTTATGAAAAATAATTATGTAATTCCTGGTCACATTTCTTATCGAACAAAAAGCTCTTAACTGATTCTCAAAAATGTGAAAGCTTTAATGATTGGCATTACAAGATGTTGTAAGATTCATAATACTGGGAAAGCATTAAGGTGATTTCGTTAGCTTTAAAGTGGCTTACCATCAGTTGCACCTAGTGAAATTTAACATTCACTGCATCATATTAAATTGCCGAGTTTTATTTTTAATAATAAATTAAGGCTGGGATTTTTTTTTACTTTTTTTATCGAACAAGTTCTTTTTGAATACGATAACGTTTATTAACAAGTTAATTAAAATTAGACTACAGCAGAATTGATATAATTTATACACCACTATAGTTTTATAATTGTACACAGTCCAGCCTTCGCAGACAAAATATAATAATAATACTCTCACTATTATATATGGTAATGTTATGTTATGCATACAGCACTCGATGTCTATAAAATACGTTTTATCCATTTTTCGAGTGGCCAAAACAAATTATTTGCCAAATCCTTTTGACCATATAAATGCAAGCACTCTGGCTATTTCACTTCACTTTTTTAAAATACTTACAAATCACTTGTCGCACCATATCCGTGTATAATTAATTATATATAATTAGCACGGTTAACTAAAAGAGATTTTTTTTTCACTTTTTACACTACTTAAAAGTGTTAAGAGTGCACGTGCATTGCCTCTGTATATCAATGCACGAGTGCTGTGCGTATCAGTGCTTGAAGTCTATGTGTCCGTGTCGTTGCAACATCTCGGCGGAGAGGGCGTGCGCTGGTGCTGTGCGCCGTGAGGAGCGCGTCACGTGACTCAGCTGAGTGGTTTGTGCACGGGTCTCTATACCGCGTGCTATGTGCGTGCCGTGAGCGTGTCCGTTGTACCGGAGAGTGTTCATCTGTATAAATAGAAATGTGAATAAAAATATTAATACGTAGACAGTGGTACTGATATTCAAATGTTTCACATTTTTTTTAAATAAGAACATCAAAAATTTTACTTTCGAAAACCTCAAACCATGAAGATTCTATGTCAATTCAAGGAACATATTACAATAAAACGGCAATTTCATACTTTAACCTCTAATATTACACGAACCATTTGGACATAAACCGTTAAATTTGGGTTATATTATTATAAATTTAATAAATAGACCCCAAACGGTTATTTAGATATTAACGTCCAAAAATCGTTATTTTTGGACGTTATATATAGACCACGTATTGACTGACCTATAAACCAAATTTCTAACCTAGTTGACCTAGAAGAGTGAAATTTGGCATCCAATTCATCCGCCCAGCAAGGAAAACATCCGAAACTAGTAAATTTTAAGTACTTTCCTATATTTTTCAATAAGTAGATTCTTTTAAACAGGTTCGTTGCGTTTTTATTTAGTTTTATTGATGTTTAGAACCCTTTATAGGTACTGTTAATTAAGAGTACAGATGCCTTCAAAACAATACTATTGGACACATTCGCAACACAATTTTTTTTAACATTTAAGTCATATACATTTGACAAAAAATGAGAGAGAGAAGAGCGCTACCAAAGTTTGTGGTTTGTGGTTAGTATATGATAAGCAAATAGGGATTTTTTCCTGTGAACATATATATTATTTAATATCTAAAACTTGGTTTTGACTCGTTGTATCTCGAAAATTAAATTATCTTATTATTTTATTTCATCAATTATGAATTCAAATTGCTTTACTGACAAATATTCTTAATGTAAAATGCTTATAAATTATCTATTTTTCCAATAGATGCGTTTACCAGTCCTTTATCTATATTTCTTCGCAACAAAACACGTGCAGCTATTTTTATCGTAATGATATTTTCTAAACGAGGAATTATCTTCGTTCTTTTTTAAGTACTTAATTTGCTCATTTTTCATTATGCGTGGACATTCGATTTTGTTTATTGATTTAATTTAATTTTTGGTTGCTCCAAACTTGCCAACAATGCGGTATTAAATTGGAAACATATTTTTTGTGGGAAATAAACATACTTTATCATCGCGCAGCAGTCTAAAATAAGATATGATTTCTTTAAGCCGGTCGTTTTTTTTATCGGTTCACAGGGATGAAGACTAATATTTGTTTGTTTCTTCATTTACGGATGCGTGCGTCGCGGGCAAATTTCTAAGAGCTGCGCTCCACTCCAGTTCCGCATTGCATTGAACCGATTGTATAGGAAGCAAACATTATACCGTCCGCCATGGACATCCGCATCATACTGAACCAGCCTCAAGTAGATTTTCGACACAGTAGTGACGTAGCGTAAGTTAGAGCACGTATGAGCTTCGCGGGTAAAATATATGAGCTAAACTTGACAGGTTTATGTGGAATAGTTTTTGAGTTACGAGGAGTCAAAAGTGACTTCAAATGTTTCATGTAACACGGTGTTCACTACTTCTGTTTACTTGGCTTGACTCCCGCGCGTCTACATTATTATTATTTATACGTGCTTATGTAGAAAAAGATCTTAGGAGTAGTTGTTTTGCATCTCAAGTTGGTATTGTTAATTTTCTATCGTTTCGATTCTTATCATTCCTATTTCGTGTATTTTTATGGTAAAATTATATTAAGATAAAAACACAAATCATAAATTGGAGATTTAGAGAATTCTTTGCTTTTAAAAAAAAATATCTTTTTAGTCACCAACGCCGATTTAATTTTAAGTATGACTGTTGATTGCCATCCTAGCATTCTCAATTTACATGTTAAAAAATCAATATATTTGTTCAAATTGACAATTTGCATTTTAGATTCACGCAAATGTCGGATGTTTACAATAGATAACTGTAACCATTCAGAACCGTAAACAAGATGGAATCCGTAATGCGGATTACGCACCGATAATCTCGTGCAAATATCTTATTAACACAGATCGAAGGGATTACAAGTAAGCCCTTTTAGATTGGAATATATCTACAAAAGAAAATCAAATAGTTTTATTACTTTTTAAATTTAAATAATATTATACTTGTTCACATTTGTATTTACAATTATTTATCAATTTTATTGTTGTATATTTCTTTAAGAAAAATGCTTGAAAGGTCTCTAATTTTAAGTATTTTTGATAGCTACTTTTCGCGTATATATTATAGCTTAAATATGCTATCCACGTGTAGGGCGAGTTCCTGTAGGTGAAAGATTTTTAAAAATCTGTCCTGTTGTTTCGGAGTCTAATATAAACAAACATACAAACAATCAAATGTTTCCTCTTCTTATAACATTAGTATAGATTGATGTAAATCTATAGTATCATTTTACAAATGTGTCATAATAAAATTTTCGCAATTCGTTCACGCAGCTTTAAATCCCTTTAATCATAGCGAAAAGTTTTATAAGAGTTTGTAATAAATTAATCAAATGTCACAGCGTCAACTTTAAATGAGAATATTATAAAATATGGTTGTTTTAAAGTACTTCTGGAAGTACTGCAAGCCGAAGTTACTTGAGAAACTTGTGTTCGAATGATGGAAGTTGAAAATCATTGTTACCTTCTCTGCTATGCGGAAGTTTAGTCAGTGGAAAGTAATTTATTGTGAGAATATAATGTCACATTAAAAAAATAAATTAGTTGTTATTGTTACGTGATTTGGTACATACAATGTAACGACCCCCTCCCCCTTACATACATATATTAATATTGAAATACCTAAAAAAAAAAAATTAATTAAATACTGGCCATAATTATAAAATTGTGATCGTCTAGTGGTAGGATTCTTCGTTGTGAAGTATATTTGTAGTAACCGTAGATTTTTGTATGAAGGTGATTATGAGTGGAAAAAAAATAGATCATAAAACTAATAAATAAAACAAACCTAAAAGTTGATAAAATAAAGTTGTGTATAAAATAGTAAAAATTAATGTTTACTCTGGTAAACAAATAAAATATAAGAAACGTTGTTTTATTAAATAAAACTACAATGTTAAAAGGAAAGTTGTAAAATAGGTATGTTAGATAAGAAAGGAAATAAGGTAAGTATACAACAACAGTGCTAAGAAATATATAAAGAAAAGAAAATAAATACAGCACTGCTGGTGTTTAAAGTGCTTTCGAGCTCGAACCACGCTCAAAGCTCAGTGAAGCGTTGTATTGTAGGATGCTTCTCACCCCCCAGGCTTCAGATAAAAAGATTAAAACAAAGTAATGTTTAAACAAACTTTATTTTATCTCTCAGGGGGTAGGTACAGATTCGCTCGCTATGGTTCTTGTATTTGAATAAAGAGAACTTAGCATTAAAGTAATAGAACTAGGAGATTTGGTGTAGAGTTCGCGGTGTCAGGGTGTCACGGGCCGGGCAGCGGCTTGCAAGGGTAGACCCGACGTTAGCTCCGGCCTGCAGCATTGGTGAATCACGAGGACTCGACGTAGGATATAGATTAGCGTAGGTGATGCGGGCTCCGATGGAAGAACCCCGATTTCGGGGTTATTTAGCACAAACATAGAAATATTTCAAAATCACTTAAAGATGAAAAATTGCAAAAAAATTATGAGCCGCGCTGCGCTCCCATGTTTGCCTACCTTCATAGTACAATCTTTACCAATGTACCAACAATTGTTTTTATTATAATAAAAATAATTAAAAAAATATTTTTTAGTATAGTAAAAATAATTAAAATAATTATTTTTCTTTAAATTAAATTGTATCAAATGTTAAAAGGAATTAAACACATCAGCTAAACAAGCAAAAAAGAGACAGTTTATTTAATATACTGTTACATATACCCCCAATTAGAGTAGGATTTTACCTACGAAAAATCCACTTTTAGACATAGAATAATTAATGCAAACTAAAAAAATATTCGATCAAGTCCAAAGTTCCTTAATTAAATCTCATTCTAGGAATTGTGGTCCCTATAATCTACCACACGGCCCATTATTAACTCTAACCGGTCCAGCAAGGAACACCTTCCTAACCAGAAAATAAAACTACACCATCACCAAGAAAGAATTGCTATGCAAAAGAGCAAAAGGAAACCCATGACCCAGACCGATGTCCTCCACAAAGACAATGGAACATAGTTTGACATAGCATTAGTTATCGTCCACCGGTACCACAGGGAATGCGTCCTTTCGACCACTCCAGTACGGGATAAGGAGACAACTAACACGATATCGCACAGAACCTCACCAAAATGGAACATACGTCTAGGAATATTAGCTACCACATGAGAGCGACACAATAAAGCGAAGCCCTATAATTATTTGTCAATATAACAGGCTTATTTGCTCTCCACTAAGTTGATAGTACAATTAATCAACCGAGCTATCTCTCACACTTCCGATACTGGGCGGAGAATCACCGTCCTGACCCAGTATGGGATAGGCGTCATTGATACTGGTATCTCACCGAACCATACACTCAAATCGCTGACAACACCTACGATATTAACAAATAATTGGAACAACCCAATATTGTGACTTCTTATAAAACTAGGAAAAACTAAGAATAAAAGTAGTATGAACAGACTCAAAGAATCCAAATAGAGTAAAAAAAGGTGAAACACATAAGAATTCCACTCTGCATCGATCTAAACTGAAGGTAGATCACATTTAAATTATAATTATGAAACTGATTAGATCATCCGATGCCTTGTTATTTTATTTTATTTTATTTTATTTTATTTTTATTTTATTTTTCAGAGAAACATTGCCCTAACCCTGCCTGCTAATTGTTAATAAGCCGTAATCATAAGTTGTCGGCAATAATTACTGCTGTTGGTTTGCCTGTCAAATTCAAGGGCACTTCAAAATTCGTCATCCATCATTAATTCATATTTTCATTCATAGTAACCTACATACTATTTTAAATTGCTGTAAAATCGTTGTATTTTCAAAATTATATGATTTACTAAAAACGTATCGGATATTATTTTGCACATCCATG